AAATCACATGATCACCTCGATAGACAAAACACCACAAAACATTTTAACAGGACCCAAGATGACAACCCTTGGGCCAAGAACATTTGCAGTTCTGGACACATGAAATGTGTTAGATCCATAATCTCTTGGAAGGAAAATAGATTTAAGTAAGGCTTTACAAGGTGGTGACATTTGACTAATGACATAGAGAAAATGCAAAGATGAGCCACATAGGTATTTGAAGTAGGGTTTTTGTGGGTGGGTTTTGGTTTTTTTGTTTTGTTTTATTTTGGTTTTCTGGGTACCTGGGATGGAACACAGATCCTTGTGCTTGCAAGGCAGTCCCGCAGCACCACTGAGCTAAATCCCCAGCCCCTGGAGCAGGTATTTTTAATACCACACAGGTATCACAGGCAGAGGGGACAAAGATAAAGAGCAAAAGCCCTGATAGGAAAGTGTGCTCTGAGTGTTTCGGGAATACCTTCTCTTATAGCCCTAGGAGAGAAGACTCAGGCACTCGCCGCTGCTAAATGGTTGATGATGTTTAGTCTATTAATCCTTGGGCCACGTGTACCTAGGAGTGCATCTTTACTTCCAATCCCCTTGGTGATCTAGTTGAACTCTGTGTCACCATGACTGAGACAACGCCCACCTGCTCTGGGGCCCTTGCTTCTCCACAGCCAAAACTCTGCTCCTTCTGAGCCTCTCAGATGCTGCCTTCTGGATGACGATACTGGAAGTCATTATTGTTCTTCAAATTAGGGAAAATTGTGTCCCACTTTCTAAACTTTAAAAATCCATGTCATAGAATTTTAATGTTTAAATTGAGCTAATGATTCTGAAATGTGTAACAGTACTCATATATAATAAACTCAATAAATATCAACTTTTTTGGTAAAGCCTTCCATTCTTTCAATGTCCAGATCTGTTGTTCATTAATTAAAGTCTTTTCTCCTTTCCATAAGGGTTTAATGATGGAAGCGTTTGAAACATTAATCACCCCTTTCCCTAGAGCTAGTTACTATTTTTCTCTGTCCTCTAGGGATCATTAACTCCAGACTACATTATTACCTTCGAGGGTGCTGAAAGGACACAGGAATTCACATGGAGCTTTATTTTCATCTTCCTAATGAGTAATGATCTTGTATTGTTTTGAATGCATATCTGCTACTCGGTATCACATCTTGAAAGTGGCTGTTTTCATCTTTGTTATTATAACTGATGAATAAGTAGAACCATCTCTCCACTGAGAAGTTGCTTGTACCAAAACAAATCATAAAAGTTTGCGCTTGTTTCATAGGAACAGTTCAGAATGACTGCTTTCCCCTCTGGCCTCAATATAGCAGGCTGAACTTGAATCACTCTTTGGACCACAGTGTGTCCTATTAGGAAGAATCAGAAAAATGTAGCTGATCCTTTGACATAGTAATAAAATATTGGAAGATTTAGACTAATTTAGGACCCAACAACAGACCAAACTGGAATGACAGTTTGCTTGCTTTTTTCCTTGTCCCTCTTTTCCTCATCTAGCCCGTGTTGAGCATCTGATGCCTGTGTGCAGTCCTTTCATCCTTAATATTCTTGACCATATTTGGACCATCTGAACCAGAGTAGATGACGGCCATGGACACCCACAGCAGGCTGGAGAGCAGCATGGGGCCCATGATTCTCTGCACAGTGTCTTTTCTTCTGTCTGGGTGTCTGGATTCAGAGACTCAGGCTTCCTGCTAATTTAGTGACTTGATGGAGGTTTTATACTGCTCCTCAGACAGGAAATAGGGTTTCGTAGGTTCATAGACCCCAACATTTATATACACGGAGAATGAAGGTGGCTCTGTAATAGGTTAGACACCACCTAGAAAGGGGAGTTAGTATACACTTAGACTGTTTAACTCTTACTAAAATAACAATTTAGAGTACAGTGACCATGCTGGAAAGATTCTAGGAAGATCACCTGGCTGTTCTTATTGTGCATGCTCCGAAATCCCCAACTCAGGCATTTAGTCCACAAGCTGACTTATCTACAATATGTAAAGCTCTGTCAAAAATATAAACCGAAGTCAATATAATTATATACTGATTGATTGCCTGGTCACTAACTCTCAAAAATTCCTGACATGTAGTTTTGAATAATAATTCGTTGTATTTATTTAAGTGAAATGAGGATCATATTTTTAAAACAAATCCTACTCTATACCTGTGCTCCCTCTAGCCAGGGCCCAGTCATGTGAAAGGAGGAATCAGCCCGGAAATAGACGTCTGATGGATTAATCAGGAGCCAAGTGATGCCTGTTTGAATATTTTGTTTGCGGTGTTAAGTTGCTTTTGTCCTCCCACCTCCTTGTCCCTCTTTCTGTCCCAGTCTAATGTTTGACCTCCAAGGCACAGAGGACTGCAAGCCAGTGAGGAGAAGTGGAGAGTATGAGGGTAGGGGAAATATTTAAGCGCAGCCAAGGTGTACAGAAGTTTCACTAATACCTTTCCATCCTCCAGTTATTATGTACAGCCTTTGAAAGAAAGGAAATTAAATTTCGTATAATGTATTTTAAATTGTATTAAACTTAGTTTCAAAATCAATAGTTTCTCCATTTTGTTCACATGTTAAATTACCTAAGAAGTCGTTTGTGGGGGCCGGAGATTTAGCTCAGTGGTTTCGCCACATGCCTTGAAAGCACAAGGACCTGAATTTAATTCCTAGTACAAAAGACAAAAAAAAAGAATAGAAGGAAGAAATCATTTTTGGCCTTTAGTAGATTTGAAGTTCATTTCATTGTAGTGAAATTGAGGTTCTTTTAATATATATAGTGGATGGAGAAATTAAAATTTGGAATACAGCAGGCCCAGGGGTTTAGCTCAGTGGCACCACTCTTGCCTCACAAGCTTAAGGTCCTGCGTTTGATCCCCCATTCCAAAACAACAAGACAGCAATTAGAATACAGCAATTAGAAATGTTGCTCCACATGTGCCCAGATGATCCCATAGTAGTAGTTCACACTACTGGCACCCAGTCTGAATCCCCTTTCCCAAGCCAGTGTAGCAAATCAAATACCCAGATTTTATGAGTTCTGCCTGCTTTTGTCTCACAGTTAACCCTTTCTTTACAAAGCTGACTTCTTCCCCTGAGTCATCACTGTTCAGTAGAGTATACCTTAGCCCAAGAGAGACCATAACCAGTGACTTCAGTACTTTATTATAAAGCACAGAAGGGGAACAGTCTGGCCTCCTCCCTCAAGATGGGAAGAATCCACTTTGTGGGGCACTGCATGCCTGAAGCTCCCAAGGAGATCCAGGTGAACCAAGGCTCCAGCTGAGCTATGTCCGTGCTTTTTTAGGTTTCTTTTCAATGTGATTTCCTCCATAAATTATGAACAAAAGAGTTTCACTTCAAGCTCTCCTTTTAAAAGCTCAAACTACGTTAATGTTATTTCATTCATTTCTAAAACCAATCTTCATTTTATATATATATATATATAATGTTACAGCCTATGACCAGATGACCTATTTGGTACCATGAGAGATGTTCATATCAGTATCGTGACCTTGGTTCCCTCCACAGTTCCATGCTGCCAGAAAGCACTGAAAAACTTGGAGCCAGTAACATGACTAGACTTCAGCACAACTTCTGTGTTCCTCATTGCCTTCAATTGTTTTCTGTGATTTGGAAAACTTTGCTGTCAATCTTCAAATTTCAAATTGAGAATGTGAAGCAAATTGACATTGGGTTGGATTACTGAATCTTATTTCCACATTTCCAAATTTTTCTGACCCTGAGCCTATATAATACATCATCATCACCAATAGGCTGTAGCATTCATTTTACAAATAAGTGTGACTTTCAATTTTTATGCTTATAATTCATCTTAATACTTACTAAAGCATATTAAGGACTTATTTTCATCAATTCACACACAAATCTCCTGGCCTTGGTGGAAATGGGAGGGATGATCATTTCGCCTAGAAGTCAGAAAAGAGAGGCGTGTGATGACACAATACAATGGTCAGTGTCTCCGGCTCCCCTCACCAGCACTGGGGAAGCAGCCTCCCCGCCCCGTGCACCATGTGCTCTGTTGTAGCGGATCCAGGCAGCTCTTTAGTTATGAGAACAAAGTGCCTCGATATCTAGAACTGTTCTAGATGCCTTGTCGGAGATCCTTCTCAAAGTATCTGGAGTTGTTCTACTTCCCCATACCCTGATGGTGTATGGCTCTCTCTACATCTGGGGAGGACACTCTTCTCATCTCCACACCACACCCTACTGGCACAGGAATCGGGCTCTAGAAAAGAACTCCGAGACTTACTCAGCTTGAATTCAAAAAACGGTAACATAGACCATCCCAGATAATTGATCTCTAGGACCATCTGAGCCTTTTGCTTTTACCAATTCTCACTCTCTGACTGGAGTCCTTCCTTCTGTCCACCCACTGTGTCCACATCCAATCTAGGAGTGGGGCTGCAGTTTCAAGTGGGAGATAAAGTGGAAGATCTATAAAGTAATTGTGTCTTAAACCTTTCTGAAAGCAGACGCTTATGAATCCTTTGTAACCTTTATATTTCCAATGCAGAGTATCAGACATTTTGAGAAAAATGAATGGAAAGGGCAAAGGGCATTAATAACGGTGAAGGGACACCCATTATTATATCAAAATATTACTCTTCATTAATAAACATCATTACAAAGCTAATCTTGATGAAGCTGTGATTTAAAACTAGAGTACACATCAAGATGTATGCACTATGTGTACTTTTTGTCAACTGTAATTGAATTTTAAAACAGAAAGGAGGAAGAAAAACTCTAAAAGTGGCTCATGTGTTTATAGCATTGTTGTTTATGCTGATATTTTCATGGTTGTACACTGATTTTCAATTGCACAAACATTTATAACAAATATATGCACCTTTTGCACATTTCTCAAAACTTTTTTTAAAAACATTAGAGTGGCAACTGAGAGCAGGAAAATATTTACACAAGACAAATATTTTGTCTCTAGTTTCCCCTTGGTGGTCATTTATTTTCAGAATTTTTAAAATACTCTCCCAGTCTCTACTCTTGCTCTTAATCCCCACTGCATCTGGAGCAGGTACAGAAATCCCCTGCCCTGTGGTGTCTGCTCTGCCTCAGGCCTGCCTGGGCCCCTGTGGTTTGGGTGCAGGCTGCAGGTGCCTGGGGAGCACTGTGTGCTTACGGCACAGAGGTAGACGGCAGAGTCACTGTGCTGCGAGCCTCGGATGTGCAAGGAAACATGCTGGCTGGCTGTGTTGAGTTGCATTTTAAATCTCCCTTCTTCTTTGTCACCACTGGAGTACATGAATATCAGCACCTCGGGACCTTTCCAGGGATACTGCCGGTACCAAAGGAAGTTTCTAGAAGCACTGTCCTTGTAAGTGCAGTTGAAAGAGGCGATGGCTCCCTCGGGAACACTGAGGGTCTCAGGACTCTGCTCCACCTCCTTCTGCTGGCTGCTCACCCCTGGGCAAAAAGACAATGGTCAGAACAAGAAGATTGTGTGGGGAGTAGGTGCTTAATGTCCAGAATGAAAATTATATTCTATGGGCCTCCCACACTCTCTTATTTGGAGAATAAAACTACTCACATTTCTTCCCACCGTCCTAGAATAGACAACTACCTCACATTCAAATAAACAAACTCACAGATGAACTGAAGCCACAGGACCACTAGTAAAGCACCGAAGGATTCCATTATTCTCTCCCCTGGTTCACCCAGGATTCAGATGTTAAACCTTAAACAAGCGATACTTCTTCAGATACCTGTAGTTCTTCTGCTTTAAGAAACATAAAAAGAATGAAAGAATTTGTTCTCCCAATCAGAAGAAAGATATTCTTTTAGCCACACCTGCTACAGCTACAAGTGCCTCCCCTCCGCTTTCTCCTCCCTCTCCCCTCTTCTCCCGTCCCTCTCCTCTCCCAACTCACCCTCCCCCTCTTCCTACTTTTTTCTTTTCTCCTTCTTCTCTTTCCTGCTTCTCCTTCTGTCCTCCTCCTCTTCCTACTTCTTCTTTTTTTTTTCCTCTCTCTCTCCCCCCACCTCCAATTGAAAACTTTCCTGGAGGTACCTGAGAAGACGCCGCCCTCTTGTGGACTCAGTATGGCGACGAACCACATGGGCAACATTCAAACTCTTGACGTAATCCTGTTACATTAAAAAGAATTAAGAAAGATTTGCTCCAAGTCAATCTCCATATATGTGGGGACGTATTTTACAGGAAACGACAGCAAACTTTGCTCCTAATAGAACCACATATGTTTCTCATCTGAACAATGCTAGATTAGTTCAAGAATGCATACGGAAGTTATAAAAACTCAGTAACACTGATAATGTAGTTCAGCAAAGTGATGTAATTCCAAAGTAAATAAAATTTAACATGAATTCCAAAACAATATTAAAACCCTTCAAGGCTGTGTGCTTATTTCTGGGGAAAGGGACATAAAATGTCTCTCTATGGGGAATGATGGTTGGTGTATTGTCTCTTTTATGCAAGAAAACCAAATATCAGCATTTCAGTCTTAATTTCCTTGTGTGAGTCATCAGTTATAACACACAGTATCCTAGGTGTCTGTACTCTGGGACTGCTCATAATTGTCTGAATCTGGGTCATAGGAGACATGACTGTATTTAATTATCACAGATGTTTCATAGTATTAGAATTCGACTGAAGATTTAATTAAATGTTATTTGACACAAATTGAAGATATTTAGACTCAGCCTCTGCCAATCAGATTAATCAGAATGGCTGGTGAAATAGCAAGGTTGTCTTAAGACAAATTTCTATAATCTACTACAATATAGGACCAAGAATGGATAAGGTTGGCAGACACTATGTATACATGAGTCCCTTTACCTCATGTGTGTGTTCAGATTTTCTCCACTGTGACACACACCATTGTAGGCAGAGCATCCATCCTTAGCCATTGTGTGGTCTCAGGAGACACCAGGGATGGAGGCATTGAGGGAAATTTTCCAGTGCTTATGTTGTTTCCTGTGACAGTGCCAATAAATTCCTTTGTTTCTGGCCTGGAGGCTTGTGTCTTTACCGCCATCATTAATGAAACAGTCCAATCAGCTTGAAAAAGGACAACATACATGTACTGATAAAACCTTTCTACTATGGTAAACCTTGGAGTTATTTTTGAGAAAAACAATTTTTCCCAAGCTAGACATTTTTGAAGGATGTAATATATGGCCTCTTATGAGATTTACATATAATTTCTGGTAAAATAAATGAGAAATTTTCTGGCATATTTTAATGAAATAAAGACTCCTACAGAATTAGTGCTATAGACGTAGATGACTATTAATCTTGTGAAGAGCCTAATGGCCACAGAACAGATATTAAAGTAGGAACATTATTAACCAATGCATTTAACCATATCCTTTTTTTCCCTGGTACTGAGGATCTAACTTGGGACCTTGTGCTTGCGAGGCAGGCTGCAGAACCACTGAACTAAATCCCCAGCCCTTAACCATATCCTTTTAACATCTCATTGGCTAGTTTTTTAAAATCTGTTTCTTGGTAAAAAATTTACTTGTAGTGTTTTGAAGTAAAATTTTGTGTGACTTGAGAAGTTATTTTTTATTTCCCATATATTTTAGTTATGACTTTTTCTTTATAATATTCTCCATGAGGTTCCTCACCTCAGAGTTAGCTGATTCGGTCCTTCTGGTAGGGTGAGCTCCATTGGGTGTGGGAAGGCTGAGACCCTAAGTGGAGTTAACCATTTGGCAGAGCCCCCCAGAGCACGGGAAGGACAGGACCTGAGTGTGGCGGAAAGGGCCAAGGAGAACGGAGGTGCACCCCATAATGAAGCAGAGATGATACACTAAGAAGGAATATCTGAGAAGGAAAAGAGAGAAAAGAAAATAATGAGGGAGAGAAGAATCAAGCCACATTTGCCCGTTCACTCATTCACTCCTTCAGTGGATGTTTTTGAATACATTATAATGAGCCGGTCCCTGGTCTAGACGCAAAAGATAAAGCTGTGAGTTGAACAATTTCCCTGGCTTCATAAAGTTTGTAATCTAATTAGATAATCCCTCAAAATATTGGCACATAAATCAACCACACAGCCACATGTTATGATTCTTACCATAAGGGAAATAACTAGCTTTAGGCAGGAAGTTCAGCAGAAGTAAGAGGATTTCTTTGCAGCAGTGATATTTGCACTGAGACTTGAAGGGTGAGAATGAATCGGGCTGGCCAAGATTTGGGGGAACAGTACTTCAGGTGGATGAGAGTAAGACTAAATGTGGGACAGGACATGGTAAACTCAGTAAACTGAAGGAGACATGTTGTTGGGTCACAGAGAGATGGAAGGGAGAATTAAGAGCTGAGAATGAAGGGTGAGGCCAGGTAAAACTTATGTACACCTTGCATATTACAGCCCAAAATTTATATTTCACTGTAGGAGCGACAGCCACCAAAACGTTTCCGGCAAGGATAGATCTGATTAAACCTCTAGCAAGCACTGCAGCAACTGACCAGGTTGGTGATTTCCAACTGTTAGGTGACAGGCTCTTCGGAGGACTTTGTTAGCATAGAATGGGACTGGGGAGCCTGAAAGTTTGCACAGCCAGAGTGACAGCTCTTCCTCATCCTGAGGGGCACTGATGTGTACAACAGATGCCTGGAAAGGAAAAGGCCCAGTGAGATGGTAACTTGAACCAGAACGACACATTTCAACCTTTTCTTACACGTCTTAGTGTAGGAAAGGATAATTATTTTGTGATGGCTTTTGATGTTTTCTCATCCTGTTTTACTTATTCTTTTAAGACCAAAACTTCACATGTAAATTAAAAATAAAATTAAAATTCTGCCAAAACTTTCATGTAAAATAGTAACTACTTAGCATAATAACGTCCATAATTGATGATGTAGTGGAAAATCAGCATCATCAACCCTGTATTGTCCAATTCAATTTATCACACATTCATGTTCAAACACTGAAAAGTTTAAGAACTAAATATATTTTCCCCATAACATATAATTAAAATCCAAATAACTGGTCCTAAGGCCCAAAAATTACACTTATAAATTCATTTTTCTAAGATTGTGACAAAGTTTGCTGTGATTTCTTTTTCTAATGAAGCACAACTTAAAGAAAAACAAGCCCTTCCTAGTCTCTCCCTCCCCAGTAATCCCCCTTCTCCCCTGTAGCTGTAACTCCTCGTTCTGGTGCAGATAAAATTGACAACCATGTCTCATAAACAAAGTTATGACACTCTGTTCTCATCTGATTCATAAGACACTGTCTTCTTTCAAGGCGGAATTACAAAACTGTCTACCCTTGTCCTGTTCCAGGAAACTCACTTGCCCCATTGTTAGGAAAACCACCCCCTTGACAAAGTGTATAAAAGCTGGAACTTTGTTCTTTGCTCTTCCTTTGGACAGGAGTCTGTTGAGCCAGTGAATGCCTTAAATCTGAAATAAAATCCTCCTGTTTCATCCTGTGGGTCTCTCCAGTCTCTTGGATTTCCCCAACACTAGCACTACTGTGGTTCATATTATAGTTTTCCTCTTAGCTTTACTGCCTGTATTGTTTTCTTTGGTTTCTTTTCCGTGGTTATGATATTTTATGCAAATAAAGTGATAAATAGCACAACTGCAAATGTTTTAACACACTGCCGTAACCACTGCATGTTTTCTGGGTGAGAGAGATGCTTAGAGCTAAGTGTCACCCCTTTGTGTACACAGCAAGGCTCAATGCCTCACTCACTCCTGGCCAGTACTGCTTTTCTTCAAGTAAGATTTTTGGTTCAGCAAAGTTACAAACACAGAGCAGATTTTTTTATTTAATTTTGCTGTTTGAGTAGTGGAAAGTTCAAAACTTGGTGTCATTTGACAACTGAGGAATCACTGTAATCATATAAGGGTATTCACCTCAAAAGTAGTGTGGATATTATGAGCAAAGTGAGGGTCCAGATTTGTGAACACTTGTTTCCTGAGCTTTGGGCCTGAGCCAAAGGATCTGATCCATTAAAGAAAGGGCCAAGGAATGGACAGATATGGAGGCAAAGAGGCCCAGGGTCATGACAATCAGTACCAAGGAATTGAACAATAAGTAAAGGAAATTTAAACAGTAACTAAAGGAAATTTCATATGAATTGAAATTCATCACACATGCAGCATGGTATCATCCTCTACTGTTTTGGGATTTTTAGGTAAATCAACTCTAGCCATTAAAAAAAAAGAAAAAAAAGTCTCTCTTTCTCCCCCAGCAATGAGCCTATGTTGGGAGCCAAGCTCTAGGTTGTGGTGCTGCCACAGGTGCTGGGGACAGTGGGCCCCAAAGCACAGAAGCAGATGGCTGAATCTGTAGCATAACTTCTCCCTCCTTAGCACTTTTTAAGATTATTGTATGTCTGCTCTTTCTGGCTGGATTGAGCAAAGGTCAAAAGACACTGGTGCTTTCCCAGGACACTGTGAGAAATGGTAGAAGTTGAGGACCATTCTCCCCTAAGAAGTGTGGTAAGGAAGGGCAGTTACTCTCCGCTGGACACTCAGGATGAAGGGCTCTGCTCTACTATATGCAGGTTGCTTCTCCCTGTTTAAATGTCACTCAAATGTTTGAATCTCACTCAAGAGATTCATTAGTGTAGATTCATTAGTGTTGACTACACTGTGAAGATATTCTTTTCACTGTCTCTCTCCATGGGAACAGTACCTCTAACTATCTTTCTATAACTTTGAGGCCTATAAAGATTACTATAATCTGCTACATTTTTATTGTCAGCTCCAAAACCACCAACTCACAGGATAGCTCACAAGAAAAGTTCAGTATTGTAATGTCCAAAAGCTGCTCCATTTCTGGACTCACTGAAGACTCTAGTCTTCAATAGGTTATTTTCCTAGGTGCACCGTCACAATGCTGTCAGTGCAGGGAGCTGACGGTCTACCCTATTATATGCTGGAGAGCTAAAATATTGTTTGTTCCCTATGTGATCTTTCTTTTATAATAACTACTGAGTAGCTACCATTCATTAACATCATCCCTCCTAGAAAGCTCCTTTCCTTTCCTTTGTTTTCCTTTTGTTTTTCTTTCCTTTCTGTTCCAATGCAGAAATCTTTGAATGAGCTCCCAGGTGTGAATCTCGTCTTTGGCACTGTTACACTATGCAGTGTAAAAACATATGAGCCTTTCTCCCCAAAGATTATGGGGAGTCATCTTAGAATTTACATTAAATTATGCCAGAAGCAAAAAAAAAATCACATTCCATGCATAAAACATATGAGATTAATAAACTAAACAAGAAAGCCATTACAGTTATTTTAATTGAGTAGGAGAAACCTAGTGTGGAACAAAGGGTGAGCCCAGCAATGACCATCCTCTAATAGTAATACAATCAATACCAGAGAATGGAAAGATAAGCCACAATCCATACTTAAAATCTACTATTATTTTTCTTTACTTAAATTCATCCCACCATTCCGTCAATCGTCCTGAAATAGCTACCATTATTTAGAAATAATTTTCAAATAACACCATTTAATTTCTCAATTCATTTAATTGCATTCAGTCCTTACAGCCTTGTGGTGAAATAAATATTACTACAGAGAATAAAATGTATTTATTATAAATTTAAGAAATGTTGCCCATGGTCCTTTACTGACATATACAGCACATCATATCTATGATTTTTAATTCCCATATGACCCCTGTCAGTCACAAGACGTAACGGGAAGTGCTTCTGCTAAGTCACAGTCTCCACAGGATAGTCCTGTAACAGGAGTTCAACACTGCAGCTAGATCGAGGATCAAACCTCACGAGTGAAACTGTTTTGGCATCTGTATTTCTGTTTTCTTCATTATTCCTTGTACCTGCAAAACACTTATCACTTATAAAATATTTGATAAATAACTGTGTAATTAATACATTGAATGTGCCTCTGTTCTCCCGCGCCGAAGTGTACTCTTAATTCCCCATAAAGCTTCCCCCAGTCGTTTTCATGCCACCGTGATGTCCAGGGAATAATTTTAAACCTCATTTGTGCCATGATCTTATCACTTGTGAAATTATATAAAACAAACTAAAGAATACCCCTGCTCCACCTCCTAAGCCTCCTGCCAGTCTCCAGGTGCAGGTTTGGGTACAGGCAGTAGGTGCCCAGGGAGCATAGTGCGCCCACCACACAGGTGTAGGAGGCAGAGTCGCTGAGCCGGGAGGCTGTGATGTGCAAGGAGCTGTGCTTGGCAGTCGCATTCAGAGTTACTGTGTACCTTCCGTCCGACGTCTTGTTCTCGGTGGAGGTGATGATCATCATGGAAACAGGACCTCTCCCTGGGTCCTGTCTATACCACCGTACGTTGTTACAGGGGCTCACAGTGTAATCGCACTGAAGACTGCAGTTCTCTCCCTGGAGCACAGTCAAGGACTGGGGACTCTGCTCCACTGCAGGTTTGCCATGCACACCTATTCCGAAAGTAGAAAGAAAGGAGAGATCTATAGTCTAGTTTTAATACCTTCTCCTTACCATCCTTTCTATACTCTCTCAGGAATCCCAGATGAACCAGAATGAAGCCCCAGTGTCTTCCTTTCTCCCATCAAAATGCAATATAATCTGCCCCAGTTCCTGTGAAAATCTTCCCTCTCTTTGTGTGTCGGGGCTGAAAGTCCTCGACTTACAACAAATATAAAGCCACAAAACCCCAAGGGAGGTACTCAGATGCTTCTCCATTCTTATTCTGAGAAAGTGTGCCGCCCCAACACGGACTTGTCTATTCAAAAGCATCTCTTCCTTGCAACATTAAACAAAAGGAGTCTCAGGAAGTATGCCCAGCCAGTCAGAGACCAGATTCAGCGGTACGTTCAGTGCTCCCTTTTGGACGCCCGGCCTATGCACACACTGCCACCTTGGGGCCACAGCTGCAGTTGCTCAGAATCTCTAAGATTCTATTGCTAGATTTCTTTATTATTTGCAAGGAGATACAGAGTACAATCTCTTATATGTCTAGAGAAACACAATAGATTACTAATCAAAACGTATATTTGAAGATCTCAATTGAATTCCAGCCACATATAATAAGAATAGGGCATTCTGATAATGGATATGGTTAGTGAAAAACCAATAATTTTTATTTATTTGTTTGAGGAAGGGTCTTGCTATGTTCCAGGTTGATCTCAACTCTGATCCTCCTGCCTCAGCTTCCCAGGTTAATGAGACTACAGTTGTGCCACCATGCCCTGCTGATCTTTGAGCTGTTTAGAACCAGTACTTCATGTAAAAGTCCTATAATAGGGACTGGCATGAACTTCAACTAAAATAGTAGCTGTTTTAGGATAGGAGTTTTCCTGTTCTATTCTCCATTATATCTTCAGTTTCTAGAAAGTGATCAGTTCAGAAATAGATACATAATAAATCCTTACTAAATAAATGAGAATATTTGTTCTAGTAGTGATAGTAGTATTTTTCATTAATTATTTATTGAACCATGTTTTAAAGGCCTATTTTTGCTCAGACATTAATATGGGTTGAGGATTAGTAAAGTCCCTGATCACATAGAAATATATTCTACTGAGAGGACCAAGGAGATATTTGAACTCAGATGCTGGCAAGTTCTTAATGTTGAATCTTGTGGAAAAAAATTCATCTTATTGTTCATATTTTCTCTGTGAAATAGAACTCCAATGAAAAGGTAATTATTTACAGACATATTTGCAACTGAAAGCAGAGACATAAAAAAGGGATGAAAAAAGATATTCCAGGGAAAAATCAAAAGAAAGCTTGTGTATTATTCTCATATAAGACAAAATAAAGATATTTTAGAGAAGATTACTACTTAAACCAGTATACTTTGAATAAAGCAGAATTTCTCCAAAGAAAGTTGTTGGTCTTATGCAATCAGTTGAAGAACTTAAGAGAAAAATACTGAGCTCTCTCAATGTGGGAGAAATTCTGCCCATAGAAGGCCTTGAGAATTGAGCAGCAGAATGAAGTCTCCCATGTCTGCAGTTTACCAGTTCCCATGATCACAATTCCTTAAAACAAATTTTAGATAAATAAGATAAACAGACAGACAGATAGATCCAGGTAGTCATATTTGTACAAATACATATATATATATATATATATATATGGATATTATAATCTTAATCTGTATATCCCTAAGTAATATAGATACATTGCTTCAGGATTTTATATACTTTCATGAACATTTGTTGTATTTCACAATTAAATCATTGTAAAATGTTGGTAATGATAATGTTATAGCTCATTGAAATGGAGGATGTCTCAATGATGCTGCCATGATTTGAATGTGTCCTCTAAACATAATTTCCAAGGCAATAGTGTTTGGAGGTGGGGTCATCTCCAATGACATCTTAGGTCATGAGAACCTGGGCCTCAAGGTAGATTATTATCATCAAAATGCAAAATTATGAAAACCCAAGAAGGTAACAGAGAAGAAAACCTAAATGAACCTGTGCATGGCAATGAGTCACTAATAAAACACAGCAGGCTAGATCCATTAAAGAAGTCATTGGTGAACAGGATTATCTTTATATTAAAAACTTCTGCTCTGTGGAAACAATAGTAAGAAAAAGAGAAGTTGAGCCATAAGCTTGGAAAAAATATTGTAAAAGACACATTTAGCAGTGAACTGTCACCCCAAGTACACAAAGATACCTCAAAATTCAACAATAAGGAAATACTCCAATAAATATTAGCCAAACATTTTAAAAGATTTTATCAGGGACATATACACATATCAGATAACATTATCAACTACATCATATGTAATCAGGGAAATTCAATTAAAATAAAAAGACACCACTAATATACACATTATATTAGGAAAAACAATAAAAATGGCTGTGAAGATACTGAACAAAGATTAGAATCCCTTCAGTAGGAAATGCAGAGTGGTACAGCCACTTGTGGTGAAGGTTTGGTTTGGGAGTTTCTTATATTCTCTTTCCATACTATCCAGCAGTCACAATCCTTAATATTTGTCCAAAGTATTTGAAACCATTTGTCCACACCAAAACCTGCACAGGGATATTTCTAGCAGCTTTATTGTTCATTGCCAAAAATCTGAAAGCAATGAATTTTCTTTCTGGAATTAAATGAATAAAAAATTGTGGCACATCCATCAAAAAGGAATAATATTCAGCATTCCAATATTCACTATCAAACCATGAAAGACATGGTGAAAAGTTGCATTCGTGTTACTAAATGAAATGTCAGTCCTAAAGGGTACATACCTTAGGATCCCAACTGGTGACAATCTGGAAAAGGCAAACTGGAGAAATTACAATTGTCAGTGGTTGCCGGGGTTTGGGATGAGAATGTAATGAATAGGTAGAGCACAGAGGATGGCAAGACAGTGAAAATACTCTTTGTTTCATTCTTCTTGTTGTTATAGTCCTTAAACCTTTGTCAAAAACTACATGATATAGCCTGGGATGTAGCTCAGTGGTTCTGCTGCCTGCCTCGCAAGTACAAGGACTCGAGTTCGTTCCTTGGTACCAAAAAAAATAAAAAAACAAAACAAACTATATGATATGAAACCCCAAAGGGGACATTTAAGATGAACCCTGGACTTTGAGTGACTGTAGGTTCACCAATTGTAATAAGCAGGCCACTCTGGCTGAGAATTTTGATAATGGTGAAGGCTACAGAGTTAGTTTTTGGGGGGTTTATATGAAAAAAATCTCTGTACCTTAATTTTGCTGTAATCTCAACCTATTCTAAAAATCATCTTTAAAAAGGGGTGGAGGAATGTAAATATGTGATGGGTAAACAAAAGTAAATTTGAAAGAATGGAGACAACCTTAAAATTTGAAAGATGAATAGGCAATATACAGAGAAAAATCTAAATATTTAAGTGAAACACCATTTGATTTATAATTAATAAATTAGCTTGGAGAAAGCCAAACTAATAAGCAATAGTTAAAAAGCTGCATAATATGAAATTTTGGAGCTAAACACTTATTCTACCAAATCACCACTGCTGCTAGTGTAAGTTTGTGAAATTTATCAATGGGGCAATATTTTAGCAACATACATTGCTATGAATATGTTTTATCTTGCATAATATTTAATTTTCCTACATGAGTAATTGACTATTCTATTCTTTTATTTTATTTATTTTTTAATTTCTTACTTTTAAATGTGCTATTCTTCAATTACTATAGTTTCAAATTGTGTCCTGGGCTTGGGAAGTGATCATTGCTTACTTTTTAGTCTGGAGTAGAGAAAATGGATCTGATTTTACTTATATTAAAATCCCCTCCCTTCAAAACACAGACACACACAGACAAACACACACACTCACACGCACACACACACACTATATCAATATAGCTATACAAATATAGATAGATATAAAAATAGATGATACAAATATATATGTATATATGATATAGATATATGCAGGAGCATGTAACGATCTATAGATAAGCTAAGCATGAATCAAGCAAACTCAGAGTGTAAAAATAAAGTGTTTTCATGCTATGACTTATAATGAGGCCATTATGTAAAGTGAGATCTGTTGTCAGACAGTAATTAATGTTTTTTAACAAATGGATATGTAAGTGAATATTTTTTTAAAATTGAGTTGCATACTATTTTTTTATAATTCCTGAATTTAGATATTTTGCCTGTACAATTGAATTTTTGTGCTATCACTTTAGAAGTTAGATTTTAAAAGGTAATGGTCTAGAGCATATAGGTGTGTTGCAAATTATCTCTACTTTAAATATTAGAAATTCTAAACTATTAAGTCAATGTAATTTTATAATATCCTCTCTTTATATTTCAAATGCCACTAAACATGAGTGTATAAAAATTTAATAGAAAATGTATACTTATGAATGAATATGTAAGAATAAATTAAGAGAAATTCAGTTGATGATAAAGGTAAGAAACCTCAAAATATAATGAAAGAAAACAAAATCTTTTATGAATTGAGAAAATAGAATTTTTCTGAATAAAATTAGCAAGTTAGTATTTCCTCTATTAATATATTCATTAAGTGTAATTCCAACTTTCTCATTATGAGGCATTTTTTTTCATTCGTTTCATGTGTTCAAGGCATATCGAACATGAGGAAAAGGTGACAAAATTTTTAATATTTATGTTGAAAAATGAAAGTCCCAGAATTATTAAAAATTCTTGAAGAATAGGAGTGATTTGCCCCAGCAAGTAATAAAATTAACACAAAACTCCCTTCTGAGATTGGAGTCAAATGAAAGAACTGGGTCAACAGATCTCAATACAAGCTGTGTAAAGGTATTTCAGTGAAAGGGTGAATTTCTACATTAAAAAGGTATAGATTATCTGTTTTCCCGGCGGCGGGGAGGCCCTAGTATTGGTCACCTCGGATGAGAGGATGAGACATCTAGGAACCTCCGGTGTGGAAACTTAGCTTTCACACTAGAGGTGATTAGAAGATGGAAGGAACGCTCCCGCGAAGTTCATCTCCCAGTTGGCACCTTTAGAAAGTAGGCCTGAGTACCATTTACTCACAACAAACAAATCTCAATCAAAGTGATTTATTAAATACTGTAACTCAGCATGAACTTTTTAAAAAGCACAGGTGACAGACAGAAATAGTAAGACCTTCATCGTTTAAAACAATATTTATTCTACTTCTAAAGCTCCTCACTGAGATTGGTACACGAAGAACTAAGCAGAACCATGGAAATAACAATATATGTGAAAATACTTTATAATGGAAAGATAGAATTTATTGAAAACCAACAGTCATTTTAGGAGAACATATGCCTTATTCACCCACATGTGGAAGGTTTATATCTCCATGGGTGAGACCACCAGGTATCTTTGTTAGAGCTGTGAGCTATGTATCATTTTATGGATGTGGCCGAGGAACAGTGGGTAAATCTTCACTCTGAAGACTGAGCTCTTCCACAGAAGAGGTGTTCAGAAAATGGAGGGCGCTCACAGCACAACGTTCATCACCTTTACAAAGTCGTTATGACTATAGTGTATCCACAGCAAGCAGAGCTCAATCCAATTAATCTATTAAAAAGTGTAAAGTCACCATGATGCTTTCAAAAGAAACATGGTGAGATTTCAAGACCTCCTTTAGCTTGAAAAAAAAAAAGTCTGTAACATAATATTTCTTCAATACTTATTGGGTTAATTGACACAAAAATCTGATCATTTATACTGACCCTTACTGATTTGTCAGTTATTTGTTTCTAAAATTCTTCAGCCATTTTTTTCCTACTGGATCCCATGGCCAAAAGGGCAACTGTTTATTGTACCTATTCTTCCTTTGCAAACTTCCATCAAATATTCTGTCTCCAGCTTCAAGCTACAGCTTCATGGATGTGGATGTCTGTAATGATGGCTGTAACCAGGGAGGGGCTTACTCAATGAGGCCTCCCTCTAACCCTATACCTGTACTGCCTCAGTCCTAGCTGTTTCCTGGGGGAGTTGGTGACTCTCTGCCTTGGTCCCTACTGCAGGTGGCTGTCTCAAGCAGACCCTGGGGTTTTTGTGCACCTCCCTTCAACAGCCCTTTCATTGTGGCTCCCCTCAGTGCACAGAAATATACCGCTGAGTCCTCCAGTTGTGAAGCTGAGATGACAAGCTGAATGGATTTGCTTGCTTTCTGGAAATCCAAGGAGTAGCGACCTTTTGTTGCATTTTGCTGTCTGTAAGACTCTTGGAGAATGAGGAGGATCATCTCCCCACTGCTGGGCTGCTTATACCAGGAGAGAACATAATTTGTACTGCTGGTGTCATAGATGCAGTGCAGGACTGCAGCCTCCATCTCTTGCACTGACACTGGTGGCTGGGCTTGAGTTACCTTCTGAGTGATACTGAGTCCTGAAGGAAAAAAGAATCAGAGAAAGAGTCAACCTTCCATTTTTATACCCTGTCATCGCTTTCCCCCTATTCCCTATAAGACATTGCCTGTACTCCCATCTTGAGGTCACAAAGGAGGACCAATCCCAGTGGAACTCTGTACCCAGCCATGTTGAAGCCATGAACAACTTCAGGAACCTGGAAAGAGACATGTTTGCATTTATCATCTAGAAAGAAAGTTTGTCTTTCTTCTTCAAGTTCAGTGCTCTGCACTGTGATGTGAGCCTAAGGGGGGCAAGGGGAGGGAAGAATTACTGAGGTCTGCTGTGGTTGCTCTAAAGCAGGAAACACAGATTTCCTAGTGAAGGAAGTGGGCTGGGCTCTGTGTCCTGGCTGACAGTCTCAAAGTACTCCCATGTTGAGGTCACAAAGGAGGATCAATCCCAGTGGAACTCTGTACCCAGCCATGTTGAAGCCATGAACAACTTCAGCAACCTGGAAAGGGACATGTTTGCATTTATCATCTAGAAAGAAAGTTTGTCTTTCTTCTTCAAGTTCAGTGCTCTGCACTGTGATGTGAGCCTAAGGGGGACAAGGGGAGGGAAGAATTACTGAGTTTTGCTGTGGTTGCTCTAAAACAGGAAACACAGATTTCCTAGTGAAGGAAGTGGGCTGGGCTCTGTGTCCTGGCTGACAGTCTCACCCGACCTGAACTTCCTTCTAAATCAACCAATTCTAACATGGTAAAATTAATACAGTAGCCATACAATCTGAAAATACACGTGAGAATTTTGAAAGGAAAATTTATGTGAACAACTGCTACCCTCAGTCATGGGATCTGTGGTGGGCCTAGGAGGTTGGTACTTACTTATCACTATGTAAAATGGGTTATGAAGATGACGTAAGGTGTCATAATCATGTATCCTCGTGTGTGTGTGTATTTCATTTATTCTAAAGTAGAAATCACTGCATCAATAGCTGGAAAAGATGATTAAACTAATCACTGCAGCTCTTTTGGCTTACTCGTTATTATGATAATATTCCTCATCATTTCCAATAAGTGATCAGTTATCTCTCTTGGGCCAAACAGCTCGGTCTCTCTCTCTCTCTCTCTCATAAAGTCTTTAGAATTTTATGTCTCTGGACCTTCGTGTGTAAGTCTTTACATTTTTTCCACAATATTAGAAATACACTGGGTAGTGAACTATTAATTTTAAACTTTTGTATTTTACATATTTTAACATTCAATATGTAGTATTTTATAATCAGAAAAAAATAACATGCAATTTTCTAATGAATCAGAAGCTCATGTGTGGAAAGGATTGTGATACAAATACTAAGCATTATTTATAGGAGAGCAGTCTGAACAGCAAATGCAAAGTCATCTTTAAATCTGGATTTCAAGACAAAACCTTACCAGTTTCCTTTTAAAATCTATGCAGTGCCACTTTAGGACTGCTGAACACACGGTGGTGCCTGGATTTGGGCATCAGAAGAAGTATGAAACTCTTGTCCCTTGCCCTAGATCCTGCCTTATGCATCTCTTCATTCAGCTGTTCATATTCACTGTGTACCCAGATATCAAAACATGATGTTGTACACTGTAAATATATACAATGACAAACAAAATGGACAAATTTAGGAAGCAACAGTCAGCTAGCAAAATGTCCTGAGCTTTTCGGGTCATCTTCATATTTATGCTTTTAGTGTCTACATATCAGTTTCCACTGAGAAACAAAATCGTGGCAAATGCTATCCTGGATGGCCTGTGCCGAAGGACAGAGGGTGGGCTTGGCTCACAGGAAGGTTTGCTTGCAGGCAGGAGGCGCCTGGGAAGTAGCGTGCACTGGCTGCCAAAAGTTTGAGGCTGCAAGTCCTGGTCGGGTGGTTGCAGTGCAAGGGGAGAAGTGCTTGGCTAAATGCCAATAATGAGCAGAGGACCCTTTCAGCTTCTTGCTTATACCACGGAAAGTAGGATGGACCTCTGCCTGAATAAGTAGAGTTGATAACACAGCCGTCTCCTTCCCGCTCTCAGGAGCTTCCTCGTGCAGAAAAGAAAAGGCAGAGAAAGGTGAAAGTTGTCAGGTTGTTGTTCTCCGAGATTTACTTTTTCTACAAAAACAAGATAACCCTGAGTAAAATAGTCTCCTCCCTGGACATACAAAGAGCATATGTTAACATACTCTGTGGGCCCCAAATCCTCAACTCACAGTCCAGCCGCACACAGCCATAAGAGCTCGAGTAAATCGTGAGTGGATGTCTTCACTGTTCTAGGATCAATCTTAGTCTAGCAATCTTTAGCTCAGAGAGATATTTCTATTATATCTTTATGTAATAATTAAAGTTCTTTCTCATTTAGCAATTACAGTGGCTTTTCCTGTTGTCTAACCAGGTAGTAAGAAAAGGCGTCAGCCTTAAACACCTGCATTCAGAATGTACTTGAAGGATCCCTTCTTGCAGCCTGCACTAGTTGACGTGTGCTGCCACCTTGTGGTGACTCCCTAACTACTGAACTCTGATTAAAAGCTCATCTTTTACACCACTAAGGGCTCAGACATATAGTTGTCTATGTAGGTGTTTTATCAGAGTTTAGGTACATGCTCAGTATGAAGAGGTCAAGGCTTATATTCATGTACACTGATGAGTCATTATTAATAAATTGGAGGAGGCAAATGTTGGTTTTTACTCAACGAGAGGCTGAGTTTAAAATCAAGGAAACTTCCTAATTCTTTCTCATAAAAAAGAAAAAAACAAAACTTTTCTTTCAGCCAAATCTACCTTCAAGGTTTGTCTTCTACAGACAAAAAAAAAGTTTTCCTAAAATGAATGTGTAAGCCAAAGATCACAGTAAGAGAGAGAGAAAAACACTGAAGATTCAAAATGCATCTTATCTCAGACTCTGCTTCTCCAGGCCTGATCCTGCCCATGACCTTCCCCTTCCCAAACAACAGACAGTACCAGAAATCAAACCATGGTATCCTCCTTCCATAAAAATGGCAGTTGAGAAAAGCAAAGAACAAATTTCAGTGGCAAAACAGTGAGGAGATAAGTTCTTGAGTTATTAATGCAGAAATCATTTGACTCCTAGGTTGAGTTGATTTGCAATGAGAATATGGCCTGCTTTTAAGAAATGTTTTTTCTATTCTGATATGGCTTTCTTCCCGCAAGGTGCAGGACTAAAGATTCTCTACAAACATCAGGTTACAGATTTCAAAAAGGTAACTACATATAAGTTAACTTTTGATTTGTTTTTATTTTCTGCTATCAAAATGGTTTGTACCCTCTGAATTTCAATAACTGACTTACACTTCCCTGAGATACCCTCTAACCTATGAGCCGGCTCTCTTGGCATGGATTCCTACTGCCTTGACCATTGATTTTTCTCCCACCTACGTACCCAAAATGTTCCCCTCAAAATACTGATAAATTTCTTCATTACTATGAATTTCCAGGATATCTTCTCCTACCAAAAAGCATTTCTCATCTTCTGTAACTTCTTGATATTTTCTCACTTCTGTGAGAAGAAACATAGGAAAGTCTAATCAGTGCCTGTGTCTGCTACAGGGATAGGATACTTAGGAAACCTGCCTAAGTAAATCACAATGAGAAGTGATTTCTGATGAACAAAATTGACCTCATTTCCAGAAGTCAACACCTTTTTTACCCCTTTCCTGTGATCTGTACTCACTAGTCCCATGGAATTATAGAGAATAAAGCCTTGACTCCTACCTCACGCCTTTCAAGATCTAAGGGCAGTTGTGATCAGCTTCAATTCAGTATATGTGTGTGTGTCTGTGTGCATATATATATATATATATATATATACACACACACATATATTTGTGTATATATAGTAAAAAAATGTGTGCACACTACATTTCAGAAAAGGAAAACTTGTAAAAATATTTTAATACTAAATCTGAGACATCATGACATTAATACAAGTTACCTTTAGCCTCTACAATTACAAGAGGTGCTCAAAGTGGCGGCCATTGGCTTCCAGATATTTATTAGTACAGCAAACTGCTGCTTATCTAGGCTTGGTCATTGGGATTGCTGCACATGCATTTTCAATTTCTTCTCTAAGGGCCAGAATTGCAGTGAGTTTTCTGTACAACATCCTCTAGGGTCCCCCATATGAAGGTAACACCATCTGTTTTTAAAAATCATACTATTTTTCTTTTCCTGATGTGTGTATACATTTGTGGTCGACTCTGTATATATACATAATACATATTTAAGGTTTCTGCATTCTAAAGTTATCCTACTTTCTCAATATTCCCCACTAGGTAGAATTCCCAAATCAATTATTCAGTGAACTACCTCTTTCTTGGAAACACATCCCTCAGGTCAATATTTCCTGCGTAATGGCATCAGAAACATATCTTTCTAGCACCTTTAGGACTGTCAGTTACAGGAGGACAGTGTTTTCCTTAATGTCTGTTTCAATGACCTTTTCTTCTAACAGTGTATGAGTGAGATTCATTACGGTGAAATCCTTCACTCAAGGAATGTCCATCTGAGATGGTGAATACAGGTTACTACTTTTTCCCCCATTAAGTTTATTGGCACATTTAAAGCAAACAATACAGTTACATTCATCGTTGGGATCTTGTACCTTACATGGTATGTCTTGCTTCTTGTTTTTCCCCATACCCCTGTCCTCCCTTCACCCCTTCACCCTTCCCTATTTACAAAGACTTTGTTTCCATCTTTTTTCCTTTTTTCACATTTTTTCTTTTCTCTTATTTCCTTTCCCTTCCCCTTCTCACTTCCCCTTTAGCCTATTTCACACTATCAATTATACCAGTTGACAGGTCACTACTTCTAAGAAAGTCTAAAAATCATCTGGGTATAGTAGATGACACCAGAACTTTTTGGTACAGTGAGTGGTGGTCTGATTTGCTGGTAGAATAAGAGTGGTTCCACTTGAGTCTCCTAGCTTGACGTGTCATTTACGTAAGTAGAACTTTTGGTTCTGGAAGTCAGATTGCTTAGACCAAGGCCCTCTCAGAGTCAAACTGCAGATCTCAAAGCAGCTGGACTCCCTGAAGCATCTTCTCTTTGTTCAGCAGTCTGGCCCTTCAGGAATGTGGCAGGGCACAGATTCCTAAAGAAGAGCTGAGGAAGTAGTTTCTTTCTATTCCCACTCCTTTACTAGTTCATTGTTTTATATTTGGATTTTTCATATAGGCTCTGCCTTTGTAGAATTAAGTGGGACTAGAAGATTTCTAAAGACTCTTCTAGAATTAAAAAAATATTTAATACCATTTATGGAGAAAATGTTCATTGAAGGATGGCCAGATCAAATAAGGAGGTGTATGAGAGTTGGGAAAAGTTGTCCTGTACCATGCAGTTCAAGACCATTTTTATGTTCACATGCAATTTAGTGTGCTTGAGGTTACACTAACCAATCCTTTGGTTTCTTAGAAGGAGAGACAGGATCCTCATAATGATGTATATATAACATAATAAACTTTCTCACTGAAAAAAAAGGTAGTGTTCTAAGTTTATAGAAAAGGAGTAACATTATTTTATAAATAGGATATCTTGATTATATTGTTCTTCCTTGCTCTTCTGCAAGTTAATTTATTAGAGTTTGAAAAGTTATTCTTTTAGCAATTTCATTTTATATCAGGATTATAGAAAGTATGTCTGGTGTTTTTGATAAATGAAAGATTGCAACTAGAATTTTTGACAATTTCTGATATTGAGAAATGATACAGCAGATATTAAACATCTTAAGAATATTTTATCTGCTATAACAATATTAGCATGGATACCTAATAAAGCACTTTGAAAGATAAATACTAGTAAATCTGGGATTGATTTTTCCAGTGAAATAATTATCCTAAGATGATTTACTTTTCAAAAAAGGTCAGTTCCATGTGAGTATAAATTTGATTTTCGATGTAACTCATATAGATATATTTCAATGTATTCTCTGAAATTTTCTGCAACTTGATAACAGAAAGTGGTTTCACGATTTGTCTGTAATTCGAAGTACTTGCTTTTACATCTCATCTCTTTGGGGAAAAATAACTTTAAAGTATCTATTTATTAACAATTGGCTCATTCAGAAGTTCACATAAAAAGTATTTGTCTCCATCTTCATATTGAATTTTTGTTTCTAAGCTTGTGAAATTCATTCGGCAATGTGGCATCAATTTTAGATTATCTTGTAAACTTTTTGCAAGTTGCTAATGCATTTCCAAAACAGCTTACTGCACCATGTGCATACATACACAGACATTTTGTATAATAATTCGTAGTACTTGTCCATTTGTCCTCATCTTAGTTCTTTGGGTCTCACTCTTTCACAGGAAATCCCATACACTCACGTAAAAGTCCTTGCAAGGCTGTGATGCACACTCAAGTCTGAACCTTGGGTTTGCTTCTCCGGATGTTGCTGCAAAGCTTTCTGCTCATTCTCCCACACCTTAAATAAGGTTGGAAAATCTGGAGTAATAGAGGTGCTCAAAACATAGCAGGGCCTGTGGATATTAACATTAGAAAAGGAAAAATTCAATGAGCTCTTTAACACAGGGTGCTATTTAGAAAAGACTAAAATGCAAATTATTGTCTGTGCTGTATGTGAACACACAGTACAAATGATCGATGCATATAATCTGCATTGTGGAGTCTTCTGCTCTGGGCAGCTCTGTTATCAGACACCCTGAGTGGGAAGTCCTTCCTGGCTTCACTGGCAAGCAATCACGTGAGCTCAAAACAGTGCCTTCTGCTCTACAATCCTCTATGTTCCTGACTGAAGTGAAGGAAAATTGTCTGTACTTAGATTATAAATGCAACCACCTAGCCAGTGGCTGAGACTCAATGACATGAAAGACCTTTTCATTACACTTGTTATGGATTCCAAGGTTGAAAAAAATCGAAATGCAACCACGTGACATGGCTATACTGAAAAAGTCTGGTGTTAGCAGAAGTAAAAGTGGCACAGCCTGAATTAGGGAGCCCAAACCTGTGCACGCTGCAGTGTGAGTTCCCCTGAGGCAGGAGATGTGGCTCAGGCCCAGCTGCAGTTTGGAGCCAGGCTGCAAGGGACCTGGAAGCACTGTGCATCTGCTGCACAGAGGTAGAAGCCTGAGTCACCCAGCTTGGAGGCTGTAATCTGCAGGGTGCTATAACGTTCTTTGAAATTAAATGTTGACTCTAGCCTTCCATTTCGCTTTGTCCCAGGAGCCATGACGAACAGACTAAGGAGGCTGCCTCCTGGATTTTGCAGGAACCACTGCACTGAGTTCATGGTGGTAGAAAAATTGCACCTCAATGTAATGCTGTTTTCTTCCCGGAGACTCGAGACTGAAGGGCTCTGCTCCACCTCCACCCCTCTCACCCCTGCTTGGAAAGAGAAAAGAAAACACATATGTTGGCACTGGGGAATCACTGAGCAGCAGTTCCCAAACCTGGATGATATCCCGGGAAACGATCGTGAGGACAGAGAACACCGAAGGGGCTCTGTGTCAGTCCTCCCTTCCCTGCCTCCCACTGTCAGGTCTGCAAGACCCTGACCCCAAGCGGGGACCTCAACTCACAGCAAACCTGCACCCACAAAATCCCCAGCAGGGCTCCCGGTGTCCTCTCCATGGCTCCTGCCCCCGCGCTTTTCTCCAGGCTCCGGAAGCTGTCTTGAGCCCAGACTTGTTCTTAGAGTAGAAGGTTCCTGAGACTCACTGAGCACGTGTCACATTTTCTCAGCTTCTTAACAGGAAACCCATCCACAGCTGCTGTGTAAGCATACACAGAAATCACCATAGAGCCCCCTAGTGGATTGAAATCATCAACACAGGCCATTTCAGACCAGCTGATTCCTCAGCCCATACACAAGCACTTTTTCACTCTAATTTTCCTAAAGAAGGAAATGCAGGTGGTTAGAAATCGAACTACCTGGATTAGACGGAGGTTTAAAAAGGAAGCACTTTTAGGGTTGGGGATGGAGCTCTGTGGAATTTTCCTTACAACAGCTCATTTTTCTCCATCAGAAAGTCTTTTTTTCATGTCTCAGGATATTTCCGTAATACACTAAAAGGCATAAAAGTGGATACAATTTCACTTAGAGTAAAACCTCCCACTTTGCACAGCAATGCCCAGCTTTATTCCCAAGGAATGTCTACCAGCCCACAATCATTGCATGTGTTTTGTTATCTCAAAGTCAGTCACTTTCATATGTGGCAGATCATAGATCTACAACCCACAGGTATTCCTAAAGTCTGTCCTTCCATGTCTTTCAACAATGGCGGGTCCTATCGCATTTAGGCTACTATTACATAATTTGTTCCATGACCTCTAGAGGGCAGCAAGGAGAACAGCATTGAATGTCGCAAAATAAGCAGGAATCCAGGAGGCAAGTGCTTCAGTCAAGAACTGCTAAATTCTGTCCACACTAAGTGTATTGGAGGCTGACTTTCCAGGAAGTAAAACAAATTTAGACCCAAGTTTTATACAGTGGTAATATTTGAATAAAGATATGAAGAAGTGCACAGGTGAACCTCACAGGTATTTGGTAGAAACCATTACCAATGAGGAAGTGAAAGGCAAGGAGCAAAGATCCGGATATGGAAACATGCTTAGGGTGTTTTAAGAATATTTCTTCTTACACTTCCCAGCACACTACTGAAGACACAAGCTAAGATATTGGAATCATATTTCTGAAGTAGTTAAGTTTTCATTGGTAACTGGTTACTTGATGATTTCAATATTGATCTGTGGGCAACTTGTACCTAAGTTTGTCATCATTTTCTCCAGTTCCTAGAGGGATCTAGTTGAACCCAGTAACATAACCTTTCTTAGGGCAATAGTCACTTGCTGTTGGGCCATTACTGCTCCATAGCCCAAACCCTGCAATTTAGAAGCCTTTCAGATGCTGGTATCCGGCTGACAATAATGACAGAGAAACTCTTCAAAATCAGCGAACGTTGTATCTCATTTCCCAAACATTAAAAGTAGGAACAATAAAAATGGTATCTTAGGTTTTGATTTTAAATTAAGAGTCTAAAGTGTGCAATACTGTGCCTCATATTTAGCCAGCTCAATAAATAAACTTGCACTTTCTTGGTATACTCTGCCTTTCCTTCGTTGTCTAAGTCTATGTATGGCTCATTATTGAATTTTCTCCTCACCATAAGGGTGAAATGATGGAAGCTTCTAGAAATCTTAGCTATCCCTTTATGTGGAAGTGGAGGTAGTCATTATTTTTTGCTACTCTCCTATGATCAGCTCCTCCTGACTACATTATCTCACCCAGAGTGCTAAAAAACATAAATAGAACATGTGTGTGGGTGTGGGCTTTTCTTTCTTTCTTTTTCTTTTTCTTTTTTTTTTCTTTTTTTTTTTTTTTTTTTTTTTTTTTTTTGTTGTTGTTGTTGTTGTTGTTGTTGCTACTGGGGATCAAACTCGGGTTCTTGTTAAAGGAGCAGTGAATGCCAAGTTGAGAAGGGGTTAACTGGTAGCTTTTCACTTTCTCAACCCTCTGGAAATATACTTTCCAGCTTTGGATGCCCTGCATTGTTCTGCTTCAGGGATGGCTGCACACAAAATGGTACTACATTTGAGAGGTCAGTGTAATGCAGCAGCCCCTTCTTACGTGCTTCATAGGTTCAGAGCTCCGGGCCCTGAGCTGCCTCCCACAGGTTTCTGCTTGTCTGTCAGCTCATTTCCCCATTAGCATGATTCCTCCACCTCCCACCACGTCTCCTCCCTCAGCTTCTCTTTGGCTTTGGCCAAGTGTGTGTGTAGACTAATGGCAAATTATACCACTTGTCTTTAAGTTATTGACTGACTAAGAGCAAAGGAGCTGAGAGACAGACAAGCTTTAATTCATCCTAGAAGGTTTCAGTTGTCCTCATGGGCCCCACCATGTCCTCCCAGGACACAGCTCATCCACGTGCTTGTCCTCCTCCAACCTTCTTTCCCTGATCTGGGAATAACTGACCTTCAGTGACTTCAGACTCAGTGTGAGATGGAAAGACAACAGCTTTACAGAGGCTGTAACTCCAGATAATGCATGTGGTCTAATTGTTTTAATAATCTTTTATTTTACATCAGTCCTAGTCATTCTCCTTTTCTGATTGTACCTAACACAAAACCTAAGGAAAAAGAGCTAAGGAAATGGCTTCCACTGGCACCCTAGGTAACTACACTTAAAATCGGGCTGGAAGCATCTTAAGATGAAACTGATAGTTTTCATTGTTGTGGGGCAAATCCACAACACTGGACAAGTATATACATATTTTGAATGATCTATTTTGGGCTCAAAAAATCTGGAAAAAATATACCACAAAAGACATCTGACACCTGACACAACTGACACCTTATTCCAAATGAGAGAGAAGAGGTTTTACTTAGAATTTAATCTTCTGATCCAGATCACAGATGGACAAACCACAGTTCTCCCTTCTAGTCTGGGACTTGCAGGTGTGAATCTCAACTGGGCTCCTGCAGCAGGACTTGTCTTTCAGAGAGCTCCTGAGTTTTTGTTCGGCTTTTACTATCATTTGAAACACCGTGAGTTCCCACAGAGCACAAAAGTATCTTGCAGAGTCTTCCATCTGTAAGGCTGAAATGGTGAGGCCCATGGAGTTACCTATTTTTCTGACAGAATAGCGACCATTCTGTCCAGTGGCAGCAGAAGAACTTTGTCGAATAAGGAAAATCATCTCTCCACTCAGAAGTTGTTTGTACCAAAAAATATAGTATGAGCTCCAGCTTGTCTCATAGGAACAGTCCAGGGTGACTCTCTCCCCTTCTGGCCTGAATGTGGGTGGCTGGACTTGGGTCACTTTCTGGGCCACACTGGGTCCTGTAGGAATAATCAGAAAATAGAGCTGAACTTCCACATAGGGAATAAAATACTGTAAGAATTAGCTTAATTTAGGACACAAGGGCAAACCGAACTTAAGTCAGTTTGTCTTCCTTTGTCTCAACCTGCTTTCCTCCTCTATCCCAGATGAAGCACCATATGTACCAGAATAGATGGAGACGAGGGACACCCACAGCAGGCTGGAGAGCAACATGTGGCCGTGTCCTTTAGCACTGCTTATTTGTCTTGGAGTTCTGGGTTTCTGAGTATCTGACAGTGTACCTATAAGTACTTCTTGGGTTTTTATGCTGCTCCCCCCAACAGGAAAAAGGGTTTTTTAGGTTTGCTGACCCAATGGGAGTAAGTGTGGCTTACCCCTAACTGTTCCCCTGTCTACTTGTCTTTATAAAAGGCGGAGCCTAAGAAAAGCTGTTAGCACTGTGGTTTGGAGCTGAGGAAACTGCAAACTGAGGTAGTTGACACACACTGTTATTATTTAGCAGATTAATTTGGGGGATGAAGTTATAGTGGAACTGATTATGAGCCATCCTCTTTCCCTCTGATCTACTTACTGGTCACCAGTTTAACAAATATTTGCTCTTCTCCTCATAGGTCTTTTTATTTCTCTATGAAAGGAAAACATATCCAAAATCCTTAATAGCTGTCTTCCTTACTCAGTTCTATGACATATGTGACTTTTAGCTCATAAAATTAATCTGAATCAACTGATAAATGTCTATCCTTATGTCTTTTAGAAGCTATTAATTTATAATTTTGTAAAAATATATAGAGAATAAACTATTATTCTTTTTTTCAACGATGAGTCACTCACTAGATTTCGGAGGTCAAGATCATTCGGTTCTGTTGCCTTCACATAAAGAATTACTTTTACTAGAGTAACATGCTAAAATTGTCCTGATAAAACGTTTTCTATTCCATTGACCAAATGTATTGAAACTTACTTGTTAAATTCTGTATACTTATTTAGTGGAATGCTGAAAGTATCTATGGGCATATGAACAGCACAAAAAATAGTGGCTAAGATTTTCTTTGCTGCTATGCAGTTGTGGGGAATGTAGCAGTTAATATTTTCTTTGATTACTGCCTCATCTTATGAATTAATATAAAGTGAAAAAAGATGAGTAGAAAACTAGAGATCATCCAAAGTCTCTATTTCCAGTTCTTGACATAATTTTAAATAACAGATCAATGGGTGGTGTGGGAAGGACTTATAAGGATTTGTGATATCTTTCTTGTCCGATTTCCCCTTTGTGTCTGGTTTGCAATGACTTTCACCTATGCAGATAGAGACCACGGATGCCCACAGCACTTGGGGGGCCAGCACTGTGGCAGGGTTTCCCTCCTGTAGAAATGGCTGCTCCAAGCTCCTGACTCTCCAAGTGCAGGGTCCCTTGGGATTTGTAGCAGCTAACTCTTATGCATAGATTTGGGGGGGCAGGTTGGGTTAAATTTGAATTTCCTATGGAATCTAGTTTATGAAATTGGTCCTTCCCAAACACCATTTTGCCTGTCTTTGTCATTTAAGTAACAAGTGATAGTATCTAGGAAAGGATAAAGCTTAATGTGTAAGGAAATACTCAAAAGAGGTAAACCACTGAATCTTTGCAAGCTTATTAAATTGTGCTGTGATAAGATCTGAGGGCCTTTTCTGAAATTCAACATAATGAATTACAGCTATGTTTGCAAATGCTTATTGAAGTTTTCGTTGTTCTCTTGCCCCCAGTCTGATCCTAAAGTAACACATGCTGCCCAATCCTTGGCTTCCCTCCAGAGACAAATCAGAAGTCCTCTTGTCGCTTCCTTTCCACTCGCCTCACACCCTGGGGACTGCAGACTTCACTGCGGCGCAGCCTCTGTTCAGAATGATAAGACCAGAACAGGTTCTTTGTTCAGACGTCTTTCCAGCTGTGAACTGGCATGCTAACATCAGCAGCAAAGTCATGTTTTTAATATTACCCTGCTTGGTTTTATTAGAAGTCCTGGGAAGAGATCATCAGAATCCTTCTCCACTCTGATATTCAGCCTTCTTGCTGCCATGAGTGCACATCCAATGTTTGGAGCTATTCTGTGATCCTGCTATCATTATAAGGAAAACAAAACCTCTCCCAAAACACTGTTTTATCAATAAACACATTACAAACTTGTGATAATGCAGATATCTTCAAAAAGAACTTCCCTCTTTGAACACTGAATGCACAGAGATTCTCTTCCACTTTGTCCTGAAAAATTATCTGGTGAAGGAATTGATGTCAAATTCCCAAATTTCAAACGTGCTTTGAGTGAGTGACCTATAAAGAAAGCCAAATGGGAATAACTCAGTCATTCCATGGCAATCTGCCTTCAGGTTCCCCTGCTCCCTTTGTCAGATCCCCAGAGTGACTTTCCATAGCCAGCCGCATGGTCACTACTGGGGTTGCTGAAACTTCCCAGTTCTCCTCCTGCCTCCCTGATGATGCCTTTGTCTTGATGCTGACCTCCAACTGGACTCTTGTATCTTTTACTCTTGTATCTCTCAGTCCATTGGAAGCTTCTCCAATTAGCTATAAATACTATTCCAATTTTCTGATTTAACTTTTTAAAAAGAAAAGGGATAGAAAGTTGAGAGCCAGAGGGAGTTCGTATACTGACATCTTGCGGCACATCTATTACTAAGAGCCAGGTGATTTGATTTTCTTTTTTCACTCTCTCTTTTTCTACAGTAAAAGCTTATGAATTGTAGACTATAGCAGGTAGAATCTGGAGTGTATATTTCATGTTGAATACCCTTTACTTGCTGGTGTGCCTTTTGTTGTTTCCTTGTTTGTTTTTTGAGACAGGGACCCCCTATGTCATCCAGGCTGATCTGGCATCCCTGGGCTCAATCCTCCTACCTCAGCTTCCTGGGCGGCTGGGAGTGTGTGAACTCACTACCGCCCTCAACTGAACATGCTTTAATTCATAAATAAATTAAAGATCTTCTCCTGGAATTTCTGTTGGCATTTCTGTGCTGTAGGAATATACATCATAGGAGTGTTATAATGAAGGATTTCTTTCTCCATTCTGCAGACCAATGGAGATCATAAAAATCTACTTGTTGCTATTTATTTAAAATTTTGTCTTAAATGTAATATATAAAGATCACATGCAAAAAACTTTGCATCCAGCAAAAAGGTATCTTGTTGTTTTAATCATATTTGTCCTCCTCTCTCTCTCTTCCTCCCTTCCATCCTCCATCCTTCCCTCTTGCCTCTTTTAAAAAAGTATTACAGTCACAGACAAAGTAGTCACTCCTTTTCTTTCTCCTCTCTTTCCAAAGAAATAATTGCTGTTGAGAAGATTCCATACAGATCATTCCAAATTTTGTCCTTGTAGATACGTACCACAAAACAATATAGTTTGTATTTTGAGATTTCTCATAAATGGTCCCATGCAGTATGTACCATTCTGATATTTTCTTTTTATACTCATCATTATATGCTTAGGATTCATCTATAAAAATATATGTGGAGTCATTTATTTGTCATAAATGCCTATGCATTTTATTGTAGGAATAAACTATGTTTTCCACTACACTAATTACTGATCGTATTTATTTTTTAAATAATACTGCATCTTCTTTGTAAATGCTCTCTTGTTTATATATTTGAATTTAAAATGTAGACATTAAGAATTGGATTGGTTGAATTTTATATGTGTATATTTTTTATTAATGTAACCAAACCACCATAGTCTCCTAAGTGGCTATGTAAATTGTTTGATTTTTTTTTAAGCTGGAAGAATATAACAGCCCTATCTTCCTATATTCTTCTCAGAAGTCAAAGTAATCAGACTTTAATTTTGTTTCTCTAATATAAATAAAAAAAGAAATAAGATATATCACGCACAGGTACAAATTCCCTATGATGAATATTACCATTATGTATGTCTAAAATGTACCAATAAATGTTTTGCTTCAAGCAAGAAGAAATAATGTAACAATGTTTATTTGAATTTCCTCTGATAGCTTTGGACAACGCTTTGTGTGTTCACCAACCATTTCCTTTCTTCTTAAGTTGCTTTTTGTATGCTTATTTATTTTTAATTTGGGATTTTTTTTCTTATTTCTTCATAGAACTTCCTTCTCCAACTTTAATTTCTAACATTTCCTTGATTGTGCTTAGACAAACATATCTTAGGATATGTCTTGCTTAATATTGTAATGGGGAACATATGTACTGTTTTATTAAAATTAAGATATACTATTTTAGTAAAATTCTCTACAGATTTATTTTTATAGTTATCAAACAACTTAAATGGTTATAAACCTATTTAGAGTTTCTATTTATTCTTGAGTTATTTTGGATGATGTATATTTTTTCTGTGAAATCATTTCCTAAGAGCTTTAAATTTTATCAGTACTATTTATATGCAATTTCCTCTTAAAATTTTTATTGCTACTTGGGATATGTCTACTTTTCAGTCTTTTCTATTATAATTTGTATTAGTATCTGATTATTGCTTAAGATATTACAGCAACACAGTGGTATAAAGCAACACAGATTTTATATTACAATTCGGATTGTGACAAATTCAAAATCACTTTAACTAATATAAAATCAAGAAGCCAGCAAGCCGACTTTCTTGTTGCATTTGTTGGGAATCATTTGTTTTATTGCCTTTTTGGGGTTTAGAGTCTTTCTCGTTTCTACATCACACCACTTTTTTCATTTTCACTCAAGTGACTCTTACAAAAATCCTTATGATTAATTTGGCTCTCCTGGATAACCCAGGAAAATCATTCTATCTTGAGATCTTTATATTAATCTCATCTGTAAAAATTCCTTTACCCCTAACTCATTCAGTTGATTTGTGCCCCTAAAATTCATATGGTGAAGTTCAAATTTCTACCATTTTTGAATGTGAAATTCTTTGGAAATGTGACTATCACACATGTATTTAGGTAAGATAAAGTCATGCGATTGTAGACTGGACTCTAGTCCAAGATGACTGGATTTATAAAAGGAATGTCATTGAAGAGACAAAAGCACACACAGAAGGGAGATACTGAAAGGAGAAAAGGGAGGATGTGACCATCTACAAGCCTCTGACTACCAGAACTGGAAGAGAAATTGGAACATATCTTCCAAAATTCTTTCAGACCTGTCACAACTTCCATTTAGATGTCTGGCCTCCCAGAACAGTGAGACAATATGTTTTTACTGCTGTCCTTGGTCTCTTTTATAGCCCCCCTAGGAAGCTAGTTACCATGTAAGGTAACATATTGACAGACTCTGGTCCTTACAACGTGGACACAGTTAGTGGCCATTGTTCAAGCTACTACACTGTTCAATGATTATCAACATGGCTAAATATTTACTTTTTATTTTTTCAAAAATATTTAGTACTTCAGTTCTCATTGTACTGTTTTTCTTTCTTATTTGTTAAATTTCTATAATTATCTTTACTTTCTACTGAAGTATAAATGATGCAGTAAACTAAATGTGAAAAGGAATAGAGGTAGAAAAACAAAATATCCAATATTTCCAATGACACCAGCTTATCTTCAATTATATCTAAATATTCTTCTTTGCTATCTCTTTTGTCTCGTACTTCTGACCGCTGTCTCCGCTCCACCTGTTACTGCCCTTCAGTATGAGAAATGGCTTGAGAGGTATTTGGGATGCTGGGATTCCCTCCCCATCGATATCCAAGAAAAGGTTTCATCTTAGTGGAGTTTTCCTTTTCCAGACGCTGGACACTGCCTGTTTCTCTCTAGTACTGCTGCTGATCGAAAACCAATTCACTGAGCAATTATGGAGGTTGGAGGTCTCCACAGGTTTTTGCCTGAGTAACCTATTCTGTAGAAAATCAGTGTGTTTATGCCATGTAGTCTTCCCAAAAGAAATTAGTAAGTGCATTATTTCTTTCTATACATGAGATCAAATGTAATACATCATTCTTCCCCTTCCTCTCTTATATGTCTGTCTTTGTTTCAGAACACACTCTTGATGAGGGTGAAGCTTCCTTCAAAAATCACCAGTTCATCAGACAGACAGTAAGCACCTGCACCTTCAATACACCACAGCTGTGACTAAATACTGTCTTTCCCTGGACGTCTAGGGACAATGTCATGGAGATAAAATTACATGCAAGGTTAAACTATTACACTTTTAAGGTTTCATGCTTTTAAAATCACAAACTGCCAGCATGGTTGATAAACGACTGTGGCAGACTGTTCTCACTCTCACCATCAAAGCATCTTGTATGAGGCACATCTACTTCTTGTTCTTCTGCAGTTTTCTTCGTTTCAATTGCTGTGACTTTTACACTATCATAGCGCCTGGGATGATTGGTGAGTAGCAACCGTGTTAGACAAGTACCTGACCTCTAAGCAATGAAATCCAAGTCAGACACCCAACAGCCAGGTCTCTTGTCACTGCCCAGAGTTTGTGTTCGGCTCCCCCTGCAGTTCCTGCCACTGTGTCACCCACAGCACAGTAGTACACAGCCGAGTCTGACTCTTGCACTGAGGCTTTCTCCAAGTGGAAGGAGCTGGTGTCTTTATCATACGTGGCTTCAAATCCTTTGTGGCTTCCCTTATCCTTGTCCTTTGAGGCTTTCAGGAGAAGCTGCAGACCTTTTCCGGGATACTGGACGTACCAGAACAGGGCAGGATACTGTGTGGTTTTATAGGAGCAGTTCACAGTCAGGGCAGTTCTTTCAGAGAGGGTCACTTGACCTCCTATCTGGGTCACTGAATCTTCGTTGCTTCCTCCTAAAAAGAAAACAAATGACAATTTGTGGCATCTTACCTTGCTCACAACCTGGGGTTTTCCTCGCAGAAAATTGATTAAAAATTGCCTCGACATCATGGCTCAAAAGACTCCAAGCTTTATGCATCATTTTACTTACCAAACGTTAAGAAGAGTACAAACATAATTCCTGGGGAACAGTTCATTTGCAGTCTCTTAAGTCCTTGCATCTTGATCTCCTCATGTAAGGAAGGTTTAAACTTACAATGAAAGGATGACCATGAATTTAGAAGTACAAATGAGTGTGCATGAGTTAGAAAGATATGCCCTCTTGTGGGCAAGGAAGTAAACTCGGTGGAAATTCTCCTTTGAAAAGTCAGTGCTGGGGCCAGGGATTTAGCTCAGTGGTGCCGCTTCCTGCCTCACAAACGCAAGGTCCCCAGTTCAATCCCCAGTTCTATCCCCAATACCCCACAAAAAAAGAAAAGAAAAATCATCTTCATCTATGTCTCTTTTTGAAGACACCTCTTAGCCTTCCAAAGGTTATTAGCAATTCAGAAAAAGTTGGTATTTTCACAAATTTATTTTCCCATATCTTTCCCATTGTCTATTTAGAAATTCCATCTCCACAAGATTTCTTTTTTTTTTTCCTCATTGAGTTTATCGGTACATTTTAGGTATACAGTACAGTTACATTCATCATTGGGATCTTGTACCTTTACATGACAGGTCTTGGCTCACATTTTCTCCCCTTGTCCCTTCCCTCCCTTCACCCCTCCTCCCTCCCCCTTTACAAACATTTTATTTCCATTTCTTCATTTTCTCATATTTTTTTCTTTTCCCTTATTAGCTTTCCCCTACTCTTCCCACTTTCCCTACACCTTTAGCCCCTTTCTTCCTATTTCACATTGTCCATTATATCATTAGGATCTTATGTAATATTATAGTTTATTCACACCAGAGAAACTATTCGGTATTTACACATGTGTGACTTATTTATTTCACTTAGGAGTATATCGTCAATATGTATCCATTTTCCTGTACCACAAGATTTCTAAGAAGAATTTAATTTCTTATTTGTCCATTTTGGCTACCTTGTGATGCACTGAAAAAAATTATACGAAGTGTGATTGAACAGTCGATGAGTGCTGAAATTTTAAAAAATGCACTACATTAAAATCTATATTGCCATTATCCACCTTGACTTGAATACACATCGCATTGTCTTCGCCACTTTCTGAAGCAGTCATGGAAGTTCAATTTATTTTGTGTTTTTAGTTGTGCTGCTGTGGCTGCCTTGATTCATGAATCAAGTCAAAGTGTTTACCTTCTGTTATGATTCCGCCTTTGGGGAAGAGCCGGATGTCACACTCTGCCGGATCCAGTGCGTAAGACAGAGGAGGCACACCTTAATGTTTTACTGACCTTTTTTTTCATTGACTGGCTCTCTGCAGCAGCACAAATCATACATCTTTGTATTTTTTATCACACCTTGAGCCACAATGCGGCAATTTCTAACCGCTCATGGAGGAGTTGTTCCAGAAGGTCGCAGGAATGATGAAGTTCCTGTGTCCAAAGTGAAAGGAAATACTGTGAATGAGATTGATAGCAGTAGGTCTTTCACTGGATGGATTTTTTTTATTTTAGTCTATTAGTATATGTGTATTGTACCTAATGTTTACGTTTCTTGTGGAAAGTTGGTAAATATTCATACAAATTTTAATCTTTTTCATCTCCTTTCCCTTTCCTTCCTCCCCCTTCTATTCATCCTTTGGTCCTCTTTCATTTTTTCTTAAACATGTTTAAGGTATGTTTAGCATTTATATTCCTTGTGTGGAGTTGGCACATGCACATAATGTCTTCATTCCTTTTTCTATCCTTTATCCTTTCCCTTCTTTTCCCTACGCCTCCATCTCTTGATCTCTTTCTCCTTTGAGAATGATCTACTCCCTACTTCCTACTATCTATTCCTTATTTTGCTCTTTATTTTTATTCTGGATTTCTCATATAAGAAAAACGATGTGATATTTAACCTTGCGCATTTGATTTATTTCACTTAACATTATAATATCAAGATACATCAATTTTCCTACAAATGACTCAAGTTTATCATTCTTTATTGCAGAGTAGCACTCCATGGTGTGTAAAGGACCATGCTGTCTCTATCAGTTCCTCTGTTGATAGACATATAGGCCACTTCCAAGAAGCTACTATAAATTGCATTGTTGTAAAAATGGGCATGCATGTATCGCTGTAACATTATGTCTTATAACTTTGTCTGAAACGTACCTGGAAGGGGAACAGCTGGGTCAAGTGAAATTTCTATTTTTAGTTTCTTGATGAATCTCCATACTGATTTCCACAGTTGTACTAATTTACATTCCCATCACAGTGTACAAGTGTTCCTTTTGCCCACAGTCTCTCCTGATTTTAAAAGCCTACTCCTTCCACATGGTAAGCTATTCGTATCAATTTCATCAATTATTCACAGCAATCTGAACACGAGTGTCATTCCAAAGCTCTATCGTGTACTCTTTTTCATCCTTGAACCCACCCCACAAGGGCACACTGACAGAGCGACCTGCTTTGTGTACACAGGAAAATACCAGGTTGTGTGTCTCTTGTGTTGCATTCAGCATCTCTCTCCCTGGACTGACAGCCTTCCCTGGAAACTCCTCACAGACAGAGCAAGTAGCATCTGCTCTGATCCATAACCTCCATCCTCTCTGCAACAGTGGACCCTTTAACACGAGCTTTTCTCCTGGAAAATAAACCAAATGAGGCTTCACCCCACAACAGTCACACAGGCAAAACTTCCCTCAGAAAAGCCATCTTTTAAACATGTGTTTACGTCCCACTCTCTGGTGACTGCAGGCTGGATTTCGACCGGGCTACTTCTCCGTAGTGATTTCTACTGTATTCTCACTCTGGGCATGCAAATCAGTAAATAACAAGAGACAGAAGGAAGGCCGTGGCCAGAGAAAACTGGAGGGCAGGCAGGATTGTTTTCATCAGAAAAATGTTACCCAGTAGAGCAGAATATCTCATTCTTCACACTGATTGTTAGTGAACGCAAAACATCACGCAATGAGAAGTTCGCTAATCTTGGTGCAGCAACGGAAGCTCCTACCATGACGGAGTTTCACCACAATTTGACACATGAACACCAGAGGGCAGCAAAGAGGCTAACTCGAAAGTCAAAATATTTTAGCTAGACACTAGGAAGCAAAGCTTCAGCCAAGAGCTGCTTTAGTTGTGCACACAAGGAGGGTACTAGAGAGTGATTCACACGGAAGCAAATTAGGCAGATTTTGGTATAGTTCTCACATGGTGATGACAGTTAAAAGCCTAGAACAAATGCAGACATAAACCACAGATATTTGGTAGATAGCTTTTCACACAGGAATGGCAAAATCAAGTGGCAAATGTCCTGCTATGGAAATATGCTCAGAGTGCTTCAGGAAGGTCTGGTCCTCTAGCCCCTTATATTTCCCAACACACTTTTGTAGAAGAGACTTGCTAAGGTGTCCAGGACTGGTAATTGGTTCGTTGCCAGCTTTTAAATCTACGGATCCTTTGGCAGTTTGTAACTGGAGTTGGTATCTTTTTCTTGAGTTTCCTTTGGGATCCATTTGAACCCAATAATATCAGCAATACTGAGACATCAGCCACCCTGCTCTGGGGATATTGCTTCTCTGTAGCAAGCTTCTCTGCTTGCTCTTTAGGAGCCTCTCAGATACTTGCCCATGGAAACAGTTGCTTCTATGGGGCGCTGGCATCTAGCAGGTGTACAGGAATACTAATAGGACTTATATAGCAGCTGTAGGCCTGTTTCATAGAGATAGAGGGGCAGGGCTGAAAGCTTGCTGTGCGTGTTGGGTGTGCAAATAAAGGCCCTGAGACCACCTACTTCCCGGTTTTAGCCACTCCACTGTGTCTCCTCCTTTCTTAAAAAAGGCAACAAACAGTGTAATCTAAACATGGCTGGAGTGGGGCAGGGGAAACGCATTATTGTTGCAGGGGAGATTGATGGTTTGCTAACCGGGGAGGACACCAAAACGAACTGTCCCAGTCCACTGAGAAGGGGAGGGGAGCACAGGTGAGTGAAGGGAAGAGACGGGTCATCCATCTGCCAAGCTGTGTCCCCTCCAGCTTACATGGGTGAAGTGAGAAAGTCAAGTGTCTGTCTCAATAGGGTTTAAGTTGACAATAATTCTGAAATGTTTTAATATCGTACTTAATATATACTGAGCAAAATAAATACCAACTTCTAATTTATAGGTAAAACCCATCTTCCCTTCAATGTCTAGGTCTGTAGCTCATACTGCTTTTCCTTCTCTTCAAAAGGATTCCATGATGAAAGCTTCTAGAAAACTTAACCATTCTTTTCCTGAAAGCAGTCATTATTTTTCCCTATCATTCTAGGGTCATTTTCTCCTGACTACATCCCTGTGATTGGATGCTGAAAAAAAGCACAGACGGAGGACTCACATGAAGTTTTATTTTCATTCCCCTAATGAGTAGTGGTATTAAATGCTATTTTGTGTGTGCTTATTTGCTATTCAGTATCATATTGCTACTTGGCGCCTGAAGTGACTATATTTTCACCATTTTATTGATTTTTTTCATATTGATTTTATGTGTTACTTACACCTTAGCCCAAGTGATACAATCAGCAACAACAATAGCATCAAGCACAGTTTAGAAAATGACAGTTTGTGATCATTATTAATCTATCACATTTAACCATGTGAATTAAATCAACATGGAGGACCAGCCCAAAATATGTTTATAATGAATAAACTCTTCAGTATAACAACTTTACCCTCCTGGATGGGGACTTGGAAGGTGTTGGGGAGGAAGGGATAAATAGGTAGGATAGGGAAATGTTAGAAGTAGGGCCAGAGGGCACAGGAAGATCACACAAATTCTAGTAATCTGCTGAAGAGAGGAGAAAGAGAAAAAACAAAAGAACAACCTAATAGCAATAGGGAGGCTAGAAATTGTATTCACTTTCTTTTAAAACTAGTGACAATGGTATAGGAAAAGACTTTATGAACAAATCCTCAGTAGCACGGGAACTAGCAGAAAGAATCAACAACTGGGATCTCATCTTACTAAAAAGCTTCTGTACTTCAAAAGAAACCATTAGCAGAACTAAGAGACAATCTACAATGTGGGAAAAAATTTTTACCAGCTGTACCTCAGACAAAGGACTATTAT